AGGAGGGTTAGTGTTGGAGGAAGTAAGGAATAAACATTTTCCATAGAGATAAAGTGGTGAAAGGCTTGTAATGGTTTCATATGTAGGAGGGGGGGGAGGCTGTAAAGTGGAAAAGAATTCAACACCCACAAGGCTGCATAGATGCTTTCATACCCTATTGAGACTGATTCCTTGTAATATTTATTATTAAGTCTTTTCTCTCCTTGATATTATTAACATTCACTTGCAGTGGAGTAATGGATAGCGGCTTGGATTGAGGAATTGGAGTGCCAAGTTTGAATTCCAGTCAAATCCGTTACATACAATTACATGCTAATACCCTTGGGAAAGTTATGAATCCTACTCTTCTTCTCCCCCAGCTATGGGTAAATAGCAGGATAGACTGGGTTCTATAGCCTTGGATGGCAACGGGTCTACCACAGAAAGAAATGGCAACCTACTGTGGGAAGAAATCTGCCTCGTCAGTCATGTATCGAAAGATACACGATTGCGTAAGCGTGTATCACGCATGGCACATAACTGACTGACTGGTAGATCCACATCACTGTCATTTGAAGGGATTGTTTCAAATGAACTATCATATATGAGATTAGTAGTCATTTGGTTTGGAATTATGGTCAGGTATTGCTAAATTGTAATTGTTTGTGACCCCTTCTCATGCAATATACAAGGGCCCAGGAATATTTTTAACTTGAACAGTACATTTTAGCTGAATAAAAAAAATAATCATCAAAAGTATTAGAACCATAGAATTTTTCTGAATAGTTAAATTTTTAAAGAAAATTTAATTGAGAAAGTATTTTATGCACCATCAATTAAAAAATAAAGCAAATATCCTTTTTATATAGGTATCTAACTTTTGTTGCTGAGTAAAGAAAAAGCTATGAAACTGAATTTTAGGGTTTAATTTGTTCTAATTGAAAGCAGTAGGCAATCTGATATAAATATTATTTAGATATCTTAATAGCAATATTTACATTATTCGGACTATTGTCCTCATCTATGTTGTCATATTTATTACGTTTCGACCGTTGTATGCTCTGCCTTTCTTCACAAAGATGAGGACAATAGTCCAAATAATGTAAATAGTGTACATAATACCTCATCTCAAAAATATAGACAGATACTTAATGGCAATTCTGAGAGAACTGGAAATGATAAATTTTTTTTCTTTTGTATAAACACTGTAATCATAAAATAGCATTGCCTTTTTTCATTGTTGCAAAAATTAGTTGAATTTAAAAACTCATTGGAATTAATGTAAAAGAGTATATAATTTGTAAAGGAATCTCTCTTCAAACTTTTGAAGAAAACTGTAATTACACCCTGCATTTTTTGTATATCAAAGTATATGTTGAGGTTTAAAATTGTTAGAGATAAGTCCTTGGAAAAGAAATACTGAAAAAAAAAAAAAAATCAAACATGGAACCTAGAAAAAAAAAAAAGTCAATTGTATGTGAAATTTAATTAAAAATCAATTTTTTGCTTTTATTTTAATATTCTAGGGCTTAAAAAATAATTATGCTTTGATATTTTTCTAAAATTTTTAATAAAAAAAAAAATCAACATCTACTTATATTGATTACATGTAACTATTGACCTTGTTGAAACTGTTGCCTTTATCTTTGTCAGGCTCATGTTTCAGCCTTCTTCTTGGAATTTTGAACTGAACCCCTTCATTTTGGCCACCAGGCCATGTGTCCCTGGGTAAAAAAGCCATAGGTTGAAGTATCGAGTAACTTGACCCCAAAGAGTTGTAAGTTCAATACCTGGTCATAGCAGAGGTGAACAAACATTTGGAGGCTTGAGTTACTAAAGAATTGAAACAGATATAAAAAAAACATAGTAGAGCAATCAAACAAAAAAGGTACAATAATGAGGACAAGTCTGTAAATAGGGAAAATATTCACATACTCATACTCTTGGAAAAAAAAAAAAAGCACATAAACAACCTTGATATTTAAGTTATGTGTGTGCAGATTGAATTATTTACACTTCATGCCAGTATTCTCATAAGATGTACTTAAAGAACAAATACATCTCTTTACTTTCAGGTAATTGCAAAGTGATGTTTTGCTATTACAAACTGCTTTTTTACATAGCTGAAAATGACAACTGCAAACTGCCAGAACTAGTTTTAACTCTTGAAAATTTTAATATCCTGATGAATCTAAATTGTTAATGATCAAGTAAGCCAAGTTCTACAAAATATTAGAAAATTCCTGTTGCATTAATATTTAACTTAAAATATTGCAATAATCATAAATATGAATGTTGGTATTTATAAAGGGGTTGTAAATGAAAACTTTTTCCATTTTACTGAAATGGCCATTAAACACCATTAAACCAAGGAATATCCATGCAAGGGGGTGGATTATTATGGACTTGCAAAGTGACAGGAATAAATTTTAAAAATGTTTAGATTGGAGTTGCTTTCATACCCATTAAATATTTTGCAATTGTCAGCCATAAATTCTTATTACTGCAATACTTCATTTGTGTATAGATATTTTCCGTTTTGAAATACAATATTTTTAGTTAGTTAGTTGAAAGCAAAACCTAACAAATGTGGCAAAACATTTAAAAATTATGCTTTTACAAATAAAATATTAATTCTTTTGTGTAGTTAAATCAAGTAACTATGCAATAAACGATTAGAAGAAATAGAAAAAGCTTTTTTAGATAGAAGCAGAGTAAGAATAAAATAGAATAGCGGAGAGGATCGACTTTCACCGGTGGTGAACAATATTAGGGTATCTCTCTCCTATGGCGTTTTATATTAAGAGTTTTACTCTTTTATTTTTAATTCTATATATATGAAACGCCCTTTTTTTCTCACTGAAATTAAGATAATTTCATTCATTAAAAACTTTGTTGTTTTCATAGATAAGAAAATAATAAGATTCGTATATATTATCAAGATATTTTTATTTGTATATTACATGAAAGAATGTGTCGCCGGTAAAAACACCGGCGTTTCATATATACATTATTTTAAAGTTCGAGTTGTGTTTCTGTATCTTGTTACTAGTATAGTGTCTGTTGTTTTTTGTATTGTTTGTAAGGGTGTGTTTAACGGTGTATGTGGTTCATTTTCTGAATTTTCAAATATTTTTCTTGTTTGTTTTTTAGTTACATAAAGTTAGTGTTTTACGTTTCTTACTATTTTTCCAATTGTTTGTTTGTAGTAATGTATTTTGGATAGTTTTTGTGTTGTTTTTTTTCTGATAGGTTTTATAATCCATTGTTTTGTCTTTTTAGTGGTGGTCGGTAATTATCTTGTTCTATTCTTTTTTGGTCATATCGAAAATTAATTAATCGTCTTTTGTTTGTTTCACTATCTGGAAAGTCGTTGTTGCCGTGGTATTGTAATTGATCTAAAATAGTCGGTTGCCATTCTTGAAAGGTGAGTTCTGTCTGTTGGTGGTTGTCTATCTTCATCGTTTTGTTGTTTCTTCTTGCCTTTTAGGTGTTCGTTTTCTTCCAATGTAAATCTTGCACTTTATATGTTGGTTTTTGGCAATGGACATTTGTCCAGTGCTAAGTTGTAGGCATATTTATTTTGCACCCATTCTGTGAAGTAGTTATGCCAGATCGTACACCTTACGTCTTGATCTTGACATCTCATGCTTCCGAAATTGGAAATTCCTTCCTTGATACTACTTAAAATGTGTTGCCATCGTTAGCTGGTCCTTGTATATGGAAACTATTGTATTTTAATACTTTGTGGCAAACGTTGAATAATTTTTTGCAAAATCATCCGGATAGATTCCGTGATATGTACACCATGCGGTGTATATAACACAGCTGCCCAGTATATATTACCTTTGTTTGCTCCCCAGCACTAGATTTTGTTTTTCTTTCATGTTAGTTAACAACTTCAGTTGTAATATCCTGTATTAATCAATTGTATTGGAAGTCTTCTCTGAGTTAATTTTTTTACCAGGTCCTTCACAATATCAGATATATCACATTCAGGACATTTTTTTTTTGCTGCAGTATAGTATCCACATTTCTTAGTCCACTGCATTGTTTTTTTTTGGCTGGTGGGAAGTTTGTTGCTTGCTAAGAGTTGTTTTCCTAAGTTGCTATTTGTCCGTGTGAAGAGATAGATATAGGTATGTCCTATTTAACGCTAAAAAAGAAAAAAAGGGGGGTATACCCTGGAGAAAAAAAGGTCCCCAAATTGATAAAAAAAAATTTAACGTGTAAATGTTTGTTAGTATTAAAGAGGGAAGACCAAAGTATTTTCTGAATATTTTTTCAGATTTTTTAATCCTTCCTATAAATGTTAAAAATTTTATTTAAAAAAAAAAATCTTGTTTTTCTCGAATCAAAAGAAATTTCCTAAGTTCGATCTTAACGGGCATTTCTGCCTGAGTTTGTAAACAAAAATCAAAATTAGTTAAAAAATCATGTAAAATTCAGTTACACCTTTTTCTTTTATCACAGGAAATTTAGAATGATTAAAGTATACTTAATGTAATTTGAAAGAAACATTACTTTTTTAGCAGAAAAATTTTTTTTTTAATATTTCCAACCGTAGTGCTTGCCTAGGTGCGTGATTGAGGTGTTAATTGACATACGTCAATATATTGATAACTTACGTCAAGGGAATTTATCGTACGGTAGCGAAGCAGTGATGTAATTAGTTTTAATTTTAAGTGAACCTAGTTAATAAATTTAGAAAAAAAAAAAAAAAAAAAAAAAAAATAGTCACTTGCAATTTTTTTTTAAACTTACGTTTGGGGAAAAATTTCTGAAGTAATAAAACTTGCTTCTCTCAATAAACAAGTCTACATCATGTGACATTATTTCAAAGCTGTGCATTCATACTTTCGTTGGAGACAATTTTAGAATATTAAAATATTGTTTTAAAAATATCAGCGGTTGTCAGATTTTAATAAGCTTTCAAATTTATATGGTCTTTAAAAAAAGTAGAACAATGTCATTTCCATAAAGAAGCTTAATTTTAAAATATGTTGTAAAAAATTCATTTTTCAGAGAAGAGATATAGTTGAAGAAGAGATATAGTTGAAGAAGAGATATAGTTGAAGAAGAGATATAGTTGAAGTTGAGATATAGTTGAAGAAGAGATATAGTTGAAGAAGAGATATAGTTGAAGAAGAGATATAGTTGAAGAAGAGATATAGTTGAAGAAGAGATATAGTTGAAGAGATATAGTTGAAGAAGAGATATAGTTGAAGAAGAGATATAGTTGAAGAGATATAGTTGAAGAAGAGATATAGTTGAAGAAGAGATATAGTTGAAGAGATATAGTTGAAGAAGAGATATAGTTGAAGAAGAGATATAGTTGAAGAAGAGATATAGTTGAAGATATAGTTGAAGAAGAGATATAGTTGAAGAAGAGATATAGTTGAAGAAGAGATATAGTTGAAAGATATAGTTGAAGAAGAGATATAGTTTGAAGAGATATAGTTGAAGAAGAGAGAGATATAGTTGAAGAAGAGAGAGATATAGTTGAAGAAGAGAGAGATATAGTTGAAGAAGAGAGAGATATAGTTGAAGAAGAGAGAGATATAGTTGAAGAAGAGAGAGATATAGTTGAAGAAGAGATATAGTTGAATAAGAGAGAGATATAGTTGAAGAAGAGAGAGATATAGTTGAAGAAGAGAGAGATATAGTTGAAGAAGAGAGAGATATAGTTGAAGAAGAGATATAGTTGAAGAAGAGATATAGTTGAAGAAGAGATATAGTTGAAGAAGAGATATAGTTGAAGAAGAGATATAGTTGAAGAAGAGATATAGTTGAAGAAGAGATATAGTTGAAGAAGAGATATAGTTGAAGAAGAGATATAGTTGAAGAAGAGATATAGTTGAAGAGAGATATAGTTGAAGAAGAGATATAGTTGAAGAAGATATAGTTGAAGAAGAGATATAGTTGAAGAAGTTGAAGAAGAGATATAGTTGAAGAAGAGAGATATAGTTGAGAGATATAGTTGAAGAAGAGATATAGTTGAAGAAGAGATATAGTTGAAGAAGAGATATAGTTGAAGAAGATATAGTTGAAGAAGAGATATAGTTGAAGAAGAGATATAGTTGAAGAAGAGATATAGTTGAAGAAGATATAGTTGAAGAAGAGATATAGTTGAAGAAGAGATATAGTTGAAGAAGAGATAAGAAGAAGAGAGATATAGTTGAAGAAGAGAGAGATATAGTTGAAGAAGAGATATAGTTGAAGAAGAGATATAGTTGAAGAGATATAGTTGAAGAGAGATATAGTTGAAGTTGAAAGAGATATAGTTGAAGAAGAGATATAGTTGAAAGAATATAGTTGAAGAGAGATATAGTTGAAGAAGAGAGAGATATAGTTGAAGAAAGAGATATAGTTGAAGAAGAGAACAAAGTCCTGTACAAATTAATTTACATCTTTATTTATGTCAAAGTCAACTCTTCCTTTAATCAAACAACCCCAATCCCATATCTTCATCAGACTCCTCTTCAGATTCTTCCTTTTTCTTCTCTTCTACTGCAGCAGGAGCGTCACCTGATGAGGCTGCAGGAGCAGCAGCTGTTGCAGCTGCTGATGCTGCTAACATGGCTGATAGTTTTTCAGGATCACTCAACAAGTCTTTAATCTAAGAAAAATAAAAAAAATAATAATTTTAAAAATAACAACTGTCTTTTCTACTACCTTTATGCAATAAAAACATTAACATCTGTTTGAAATGCCTTCTCAGAAATAAATGTTGAATTCACAAACAATCAGAAATCGGGGTTCAATAACATTTCATCATTGAAAGACACTTCTATAAACTTTACACTAATACTATGTACATTCCAACTTTAGATTGATGGAAACCATCTTACCTCATACAGAAATTAGACAAACTACTTCATGGGTCATTTCAGCCAGAGGCAACAAAAGTATGTTAATAAGTTATACATCCTCAGATTCCATCCAAATTATCACCATGTCATGAGTTAGCCTGAAAATTTTCAGGCTTGTCTCACCAAAAGGGTCTTTTATTGGAACTCTTTCCATGACAATTATTATGCACCTCAAGTTCAATCACCCTCCACCCCTTTTTGCAAAAATCAATTAAAAATCCTTATAGTCAAGAGTCCTGAAATTCAGCTTCTTGTCACATACAAACCACCTCATTGTTGTATTTATGTGAGATATGGGGAGTACAGGATGAAGTCTGAGGATCAGCACTTAATTGATGGCTAATAATAGGGTCATTAAAGTCAATGTTAACTGAACATGTCTTCTCAGAAATTAATGTTGAATTCACAAATTATCAGAAATCGGGGTTCAATAATATTTCCTCATTGAAAGACAAATTTTTACTATCACCTCACTCTATACTATAATAAAAACAAAAACTTACGGTCTGGGCTTCTGCAAATGTTACTTTGGTTTCCAGAGAGATTGCCAACAAGTTCTTGAATCCATTAATCAACATATGTGGAGCAGAAGCCATTGTTGGATAGCCAATGGCAAGTGACAGTGAAGCCACGTTAGTAACACCCTGAAAAGATTAAAATATCACAAAACCTTCAACTTAAAATATTTTATTTGCAAAAAAAAAAAAAAAAAAAAAAAAAAAAAATTCTGGTGATCTTTTCCAACCTCCTCATTCAACTCTTACCATTTTTTAAAATGGTAAATTTTTATGAAATAGTAAAGTTTTCAGACTTGGCAAGAACAAGTTAGAAAGTTCAGGCTAAAGGCTTATAAAAGTTAATTTGAAACCCATTATGATACATCAATGTAAAAATGGACAGAGGATAATGGAGACATGGTAGATATCTAATATTGTGTGAACAAATACTCACAGGAACCAGAATTATCAATACCAGTCACCAACACTTCTATCCAACCGTCAACATTAATCCTAACATTACAATTGTTTAATGTATCAAATATATTCACATATATAAGTATGTACCCAATATGGTCTCACTCCCCAATCACAGCCACAGAGACTATAGGAAGTTATGGAATATATTGGGCTAGACCCACACCTGCAAAACCAGGGGATCAGCTTCATGTCCAACATGGTGGAAAGGGAATACACCCAATTGTCCTCCAGAGTAACCTTACATTAAGGATACACAGAGATTTGGCTCCCATTTGCCACAACAGATCTAACAGACCTGCAGACATGTTGGTATAAAGAACACATTTACAACTTCATGGTTTTAAGAAACAAATTACATACAAATCAATTTTTTAGTTACAATTTACCAACATTTTATAAAAGAGCTTACAGTTAAGCTTTAAGATTAAGCTATAGAATATCAAAATAATGAACATGCTTACATTCATGAATTTTTTTCTAATATCCTCATCAGTTATGTCCAAAACAGCAGGAGCAAATACAGTACCAGAATCAAACACTGGGGAGGAGAAAAAAAAAAAAAAAAAAAAGTAGATTTGATTTTCTATATGTAGTTAGAAGAAGAGAAAAAAAAAAAAGTCCACAAGTCAGTTAAAAAATAATCTACATTTATATTCAGTAGAGCGAAAGTACTTTTAATCATCATTCTTGGGACTACTAAACAATCATTTAGAACATTGAGAAAAAACAAAAATTCATGGAAAAGCAGCTTTCACATGATGTATCCCATGATGTCGGCAATTCATTCGACCCCGCGGGCCGGATTGTGTTATAATGACGGGTCGCAGACCCGACGAAGGCCATTAATGAAAATTACATATGCAGACCCATCAACCTAAATATTTAAAACCATAATGAAAATAAACATTGAGAAATCAGAAAAATAAGAGAGTCCAAAATTAAAATACACCTAACAAAAATTACACAAGGAATGTCAAAATACTTCAAAGTGAAAAAAAAAAAAAAAAACAAAAAACAAACCAAGTGAAATGGTTGAGATTGGCGCGTAGATTTGAAACTTATTGAAAATTGCCCCCCCCCCCAACAAAAACAAAGCACATATACCCATACATAGTACAAACAGTTGCAAACATATACACTTACATACGTACACATGTGGTATCATCCACACATTCACAAGGAATGTATGTATAATGCGCATATGTTTAACTGTCTTTAGATTTCTGCTACATCGCATTTGGACTTTCACTCGCTATCTTTTAATGTAGCCAAGGGTCATAATAAATATGTATCCATTATTTGACATTAAATGTAGCCAACACAACTCAGTTGCCGACTCTTGATGTATCCATTGCATAACTATCAAAATCACAATATAACCTTAAGTGATTTTCACCTTTAAAGGGGGGGGGGGATTTGCTTGCAAAGCAACTTTTATCCCACTACTGCTAGTGACTCAAGAATTAATGAATGATAGCATGTTTGAATTTTGCAGTTGTACTGTCATATCCTGCTATGGCACAGAAAATGACCATGACTGAAATCAAGTAGTGCAGTAGAGGAACCTTGAAAAACGCAATGGAAAGCAAAGTAGTGAATTATGCAGCAATATGGTTAAGAAAGTACAAAACATTTCTAACAAAAACAAAGCTGTTACTCCTCAAATGCAAAAGTACCTAAAATACTGGGAAATTACCTTGCTCAATCACCAAACCATATGAGAATGGAGAGATGTTCAACATATTAAGAAGTGTAGCTTCTGAAGCTCCAACCTTGTCACCTTCTTTGATGAGACGGACATCATTCAAGATTTCAATAGTACCTCTGGAAATTTTGGTTGGGATAGACAAAGCCTGGAAGAAAGAAGTCTTCTCAGGACCTAACCCAGTATTCTGAGCTGAAACCTGGACATCACAGGGGGCAATGGCACCAGCACGAGCAGGGGCTTTTACCTACAATTAAAATCAAATATCAATCTACAAATTACAACCAAAATAAATCTGTATATTAACAGTGCCAGTTAAAAAAAATGTCATTTTTGATAATGTAATTTTTTTTTTTTTAAAACACATTTTTTATTTCATTATTTGCACTGCTAGGAGGTGAAATTACAAAATTTTCAAAATGCAATAAAAATAAGTTACATTCTACAAGTTTCCATACCTTGTTTTCCTTGAGTTTTTCCCTGACTTCAGTTAAGTCACTCTTTGTGAACACAAAGCCAACATTGTTTTTTATGTGAGGCAGCAGCCTGGAGAGAATATGTAAAATTAAAACATTAAGTGGTAAGCCTAAATATTTTCCAATGTTTTCAGTTATACATTTGAAAAGCTCACTAAAAAAATTTACACTAATAGAAAAAAGTTCCAGCTTAAACCCTATATAATTATATTTAAGTTTATAAATGGCAATGCCATTCACTATATTTATAATAATAATAAAAAAAAAAAGAAAAAGTTTCACCTAAAAAGCAACATGTCCTGATTTCAAAGATATAGTAAAATAAGGAACAATTATTTATCTGCATCCAGTAAACACATACTTTAAAGCGTAACTGCTCACCTTTCAAGGCCTGGATTTTGATCCAAATGACCACGTATAGCTTTCCTGATCATAGTATTTTTACCCATAAGGATCACTACAAAGAGAAGATTATTATTAAAGTTCGGTACAGTTAACAAAATATTAATATCAAATAGTCTAAGTAGAGATGCAACTCATTTTTAAATCCCAGGCTAAAATTTTAGAGAACTTTAGTGATAATATACCAAGTGGAAAATGCTTACCAGACTATATTGATGCTCAGACTACCTAAGAAGGTCAGTGTTGCACTCTGCTCAAGTCTGTCCTAGGGGGTTCCACCATACGGTGCCTATGACAATCCGACTTAAGCTAGCAAACAACAATTTTCATCACAGCACCACAAGTAAAGATCTAATTCAAATATAAAACCTAGCTCTATAGTAAATATACAATACTGTTTGCCAATTTCTTTAATTTACATACTACCAATTTAGCAGAATGTACAGAATTATCAGCACAACCTTAGATAAACTGTATTCTCTCCTCATAGATGGCAGCCAAATAATGGTAGTGCTTTCAAAACAAGAAAGAAAGCAGGGAAAAATACTCCCCCTTTACCAATAATTCAGATAAATAAACTGGAGAACAAGGGATAGAGATTTTATACACACACACATATATATATATATATATATATATATATATATATATATGTGTGTGTGTGTGTGTGCATGCACATGTGTGAGAGAAAAGATTTGCCCTCCACATTAGTATTCAAAGGTAAAAGTTTCCATCTTAATACTTCTCAAAATGACAAAAACAAATTTCATTCACGGGATTAGCCAGGCAAATAACTTCAGTTACTTTCTTCCTACAAATACATTTAAAGCATATGCTCAAGTCTACAGGTATAATGCAGATGACTAATTTGATTACAAGTAATTGTCAATTTTATTTGTAAAATATTCAACTTCTCAGACTGTTCAATATTAGATAAAAGTAATCAGGTTTTTTTGGTTTTTTTTTTTTTAATCCAAATTTCTGTTATAAGGAGTTATTTACATCAAATCACATTTCAGTGTCTCCCTCCACGGAGATGACAGTCAACCCACATAAAGTACTGGGAATATATCTCCGCCATAGGATAGTGGATTAAAGTGTCAGTTCATGATTTTAGTGACTAATTCATTTCCTTGGCCAGACAGTGTCTACTTAGTGGAAAACAAGCAGTACCAAAATAAGTTTTCTACATATGAGCAGTGGAATCAAAACTATCTACCCCACACCCTCATAGATTAAATAATGGGGTAGGTAATCCAGATCAATAAACCAATAAGCATCTGAGCAAAGAGCACAATAGCTGAAATGTCAAAAGCCTGTGTGTAAATTTTTTTCTATTTCAATTGACTGTCCAGTTATCAAATTTTAAAATAATTGTATCACCCCAGGGGAAGATGTACCACAAAACAAGTCAGGAGTACAAGGCAAAAAGGGTGATTATCGGATTTTATGTACCAGTTGGTGATTACATTTCAAGTCATAAAGACTTGAATGATGCCCATAACCTAACTGGAAAAAAGACCAACTTATTCCCATTATCAAAAGAATCAAAGTACTGTAGAAAATTTCAGAGATATACTTACCAGCCATGCCTCGGAGAGACATTCGGATCATCTGCATTTGTTTGGAGCCAACATTGTCAGCATTGACAATGAAACACTTGGGATATTCATTGAGGAGTTGCTGAAAAAGATTTTTAAAAAAGAGCTTTACTTTCAGGTGACAAACTGCACATTAATTTTTGTACTATAATAAGTTATAAGCCTTCAATTTATGGCATTGTAAGTATCTTGATTTTAATTATTCATAAAGAAATTTCTAAGTGTATTCAAATGTCAGAAAATGCAGATGTTTAATTTTTAAACTATCCTATACAAGTGATTAGCATTCTAAAACAAACAGCCTATTTCTCTCTCCATTAAAAAAAAAACTGATACTTACAATGATTTTAAGGAAGTAGTTGGACTTCCATGTGGATTTATCTTCCTTGACCATCTTTGTGGAGCAGGGACTGTATCAACAATTTAAAGATAAATCCTACAGAAAAAGAAAATTATACAAAGTATAATTTTATGCATGCATTACATTCCCATAACTGAAACAGCAAGATACATTCCTAACAAGTATTGTATAGCTCTTTTGCAAAGGTTTCTAAAAAACATTTCTCAATAAAACAGTACCTAAAATTGGTAGTGTTTATAGGATTTACATACACATTAACACAGAAACTGGAATCACCAGTTTCATCTGCTTTTTTGAGTGCCCTTAGTATACCCTAAATTTTTTTTTTTTTTTTATGTGGTTGTCTACTGAATTCAAGTAAATAAATTCATGCATGAATATATTTATGCAAGCCAATGCATGTCATTTAATTTACAGCTATTAACACTTGTAATTATAGAGGGCTATATATCAGAATTTACTTCTATACAAAGCATATCAAAGAAGCAGGTTTAACTTGAGCATTCAACACATCTCATGCATACTGTTATATGACATTGGAAATAAGTCATGCAAACAATGAGACTGAGAGCAGATACTTACATGTCAGAATTGATCTGTTTTTTTTTTTTTTCATTAAGTAAAATCATTAACTCCTAGCTATGTACCTGTTTGGGGGTGACCACTACAGGAAAATTACACCACAAGCAGTGGAAAAAGCACTCCAAGATATGCAACAGTATCAAGCATTATTATTATTAGAAACTTTTCAAAAATGTACCCAATATGGTCTCACTCCCCAACAACAGCCACAAAGACTATGGGAAGTTATGGAATATATTGGGTTAGACCCACACCTGCAAAACCAGGGGGCCAACTTTATTTCCAACATGGTGGAAAGGGAATACACCTAATTGTCCTCCAGAGTAACCTTACATTAAGGATACACAGATTTGGCCCCCATTTGCCACAACAGATCTAACAAGATCTGCAGACATGTTGGTAGCAATAAAGTTATTTTATTTACAATACAAAATTACCATATTAAAATACTTTTGCAATTTTACTCCAAATGAAGAGCAAGAAAGATTAAATATGATTATCATTCTACTTCCAACTATCTCCATAAATCAGCTCACTGTTTACATGAGCTCTTGCATTATATGCAATGAGGCCATGCCGAGCTGAACATTTACAGAGCAGTTTAAATGCTCAGAGCAATTGTGCTTCAATAGTTTTATATAGAAAAAAAATTTCATATACATCCTTCTAAGTTTCTAGAGTTGTAAAATAAACTTCATACACCGACTTTCATTAACATTTTAAATTCATGCAACAACTTTATTTTTGCCAGACATTTGACATTTTTAATATGTGCTACCAAGAAAAAAAAAAAAAAAAAGTCTGCAAATTGAAAAAATAAGATTCACAACAGGTGACCAGATTTACATTACATGACAAGCAGAATTGGTCACTTATTGTACAGAGTGCAACACATACCTCCCACATTTTAAAGGTTGACAAAAAACCAAGGTAACTGCTATTAAAAAATTTATTTCACTGTTTAAACAAAGGGCTACAGTTTTTATTCATTTGGTTTTAAGATGACATCCTCCAAATGGTGGCCTCTATTTGCCATACACTGTTGTAGTCGATTTCTAAAGTTTTCCATCACCCGAACAGTCATTTCTGGTGGTATTTCTGCCACTTTTTGGCAAATGACATCCTTTAATTCTTTAATGTTTGCTGGTTGATGTTTGTAAACCTCAGCTTTCAAGTAACCCCAGAGAAAATAATCGCAGGGGGCAAGATCAGGTGAGTGAGCAGGCCATCCAATATCACCACGCAAGGAAATCAAATGCCCTGGAAACATCTCTCTCAAAAATTCCATTGATCTTTGAGATGTGTGTGCACTGGATCCATCCTGTTGAAACCAGACATCTGGACTTGCAATGTCTCCAAGTTTTGGTTCCAGAAAGGTGTGCAGCATCTCCACATAGCGGTCAGATGTTACTGTAACAGAGTTATCTCCCTCCTCAAAAAAGTAAGGACCCAATACACCAAATTTTGCAACTGCACACCACACAGTCACTCGTTCACTAGGTTTTTTATGAAGCTGTCTAGGGTTATTTTCTGCCCAGTAGCTAAGATTCTGCTTATTGACACAGCCAGAGAGATGAAAGTCAGCTTCATCACTTGCGATAAGAACAGCATCTGTAGGAACATTTTCAAGTATATCATCACAGCATGCCATGCGATTTTCCAAGTCGCATTCTTGCAGCTCTTGAGTAACCATTAATTTGTATGGGTGGAACTTTACATCAGTGTGTAAAATTCTTCTGACTGCTCGATCAGACAATCCCAAAACTGAAGCATGTTTACGGGCCGAACGTGTAGGAGATTGCAGAACAGATTCTCTCACAGCTTGGACATTTTCTGGAGTTCGAGCACTTCGAGGTCTTCCAGGTGGCTTTCTCTTAAGCGCTGAACCTGTGGCCCTGAAATTTTCAACCCATAACAGTATAGATTTTCTATCCGGAACAGAATCATTCCGACGTAACACGAAGTGAGCACGAAAAGCTCTCTGTGTTGCAGTTACAGACTCGGTCTTAAAAAATGTTTCAACAGCAAATGCACGGTGTTCACCAGTCCAAGCCATGATGTTAATTGATGGTATCTGAAAAAAAATGGCAAGACATTAGCTAGATGAAGACACCATTGCCACTTGCCTAAGTTAACTAGCACCACACAGGTGATAGTTTAAAAGGGTGGGAGTTATTTCTACCGCACCCTGTAGCACGGAGGTAGCATGTTTTAACACAAAAATGTAAAACAGGCCAAGAACCCTCACTAATGTTGGGGGGGTTCTTTTTTTTTCTATTGCTACCTCCTTTTCACTTAATACCAGTTATTGTATCAAATGATTCTGTGTTTCAAAGTGGTAGAATGCACTTTTCTGTAGGCACATTCATAGCCGAGTAACATGCTAACACTTAATCCGAATCAATCTTCAACGTGTCCGGGTCAACTACACTGTAGAAGTGTCAATGTTTGACACGAAGAAGAAAAAAAAAAAAAAAAAATTACACGAGAAGTGCCCAAGAATAATTTTACTGTTTTTTTTTTTTTTTAAAAAAAAAAAAAAAAAAATAAATAAATACTGGAAGTATTTTATTAATATTTTTCACATTTAATACACAATCCAATAAGCAAAGAAGTTTGTTATTTTTCCCCAATTCTAACAAATGTCGATGCGGGGCTCATTTAGAGTTTTCCCAAAATTGTCCCTTATTTTACGGATCAGAGCGAGGAGAAATTTACGCTAAACTGTTTTTTTTTTTTGTTTCTTTAATAAGTTACCCGTGATACGAAATAAGCAGAAAAGGATTTTCAAACACTTAAGTGAGCGCGCCTCATGCAAAAATACGGCTAGTGTTGCCAAGCTGCCGAACGTTAGCGGCCAATTAGAATTAGTAACCAAAATAAATTGGGGGGCTTAATTATTTTTTATCTTTAGAACCAGAAGGTATTTTAAATTTTCTGATTGCAACAATGAGCAATAAATTTTTTTAAAGGGAAATTTAAGTTTTTCTGCGGTAAAAATTAAGGAATATACGTTAATCATTTTTTTTTTTTCTTTAATTTGCATATTTCATGTCGCCGAAAAGAGAAAAGTTTTAAAACTTCGCTAATTAAAACTTCCACGTTCCAGAACATTTTAAATGTTTAGTTACTGATGAATTTGAATATTAACCTATTAATATGAAATTAAAAGTAAAACTAACTTTAAAGTTAAGGTTTTTCATTTTATAAAACAAAAAAGTTTTGACCGAAACAACGGTTTGGTAGTGCGAGTAACGATCAAGCTATTGGAGGTTAGGAGATAGAAACGAAAATGACTAAGATCACAACATTTTTGTTAAACCGAAACAAAGTTTTCAGTTCAATAACTGAAGATATTTTTATCTACTCAGTTTTTCCATTCGCAGAAAAGCTAAGTTTAACAAAAGCTATGCTGGTCTATGAATTTAGACTTTAATGTTGAATTATTTAACATGAATATACCAGCTAATAGAAAGATAATTTAAACCATTTTATTTCAACTGGTGACACCTAATTAAAATGTTATCGATCTACAATACATTAACTATAAAATCTAAAGAAATCTTAATTATTTTGGAACTTAGGCAAAACTAATTCCGCTCACGATACTGAAAACTAACATTCTGATCAGCAGCTTCAGAATCCAAGTTACTGAATTTTTGCTTCACATCAGTTTCCGCTGAAAAATTTCCAGTTTAATACTGCTCACCATTACTTCCCATTTAAACGCACTTAATTACTGACCAACTTGACTCAAATGGTCATATTATGGCAGACCGACAGTCAAGTTTTAAAGGGTTGTACAGGAAAAGCGGGACAAAAGAAAAAAATGTACATGGTTCACTATCATGAAGTCCCAGGAGAATTAGTCAAACCAAGCTTTTCTGGAACATTAGGTTTTAAGGAAATATGAAACATCCACGATTCGTACTATAGACCTTTTGTTTTTTTACATGAAAATGCTAGACTTCATTTTACGATCTTTTCATTCTTAGAACGACCTAGAATATATTACAGCACTATTCAATGTCTCGGTATTGAAATACAACAAACAACTAAAACAAGTACAACTTTTTTTTTTTTTGGTAACAAATTAATATTTGCATAGCAATGAAAGTTCTTTATCAGAAAAAAAAGTTAACTATGGCCATTTTGCAACAGGATTAAACTTACTTTTTAATATACTCAGAAACTAAACTTAGAAATACATGAATCGAAAGATTGAAATAAAAAATGTACCCAATATGGTCTCACTCCCCAATCACAGCCAGAGAGGCTATGGGAAGTTATGGAATATATTGGGTTTAGAGACCCACACCTGCAAAACCAGGGAGTCCAATTTTTATTTCCAACATGGTGGAAAGGGAATACACCTGAATTGCCCTCCAGAGTAACCTTACATTAAAGCTACACGGAGATTCGGCCCCCGTACGCCACAACAGATCTAACAG